CTTCAATGAAATGAAAAGGGAAGCAACACTACCAAATTCATTCCTGGAAGCAAGTGTTACTTTGATTCCAAAACCAGAGAAAGACACAAACAAAAAAGAGAACTACAGGTCAATCTGCCTGTAGTACAGATGCAAAAAATCCTCAACAAGATACTGGCAAACAGAATACAGAGGATCATCAAGAAGATCATACACCCTGACCAAGTCAGATTTATCCCAGAGATGGAAGGATGGTTCAACATTCGTAAATCAATAAATATGATATAGTATATTAACAGATCCAAGGACAAAAACCATATAATCATCTCAATAGATGCAGAAAAAGCATTCGACAAAATCCAACACCCATTCATGATAAAAACCCTATAAAAAATTGGAAGAGAAGGTCTTTATCTTAACCTGATTAAGCCTATCTATGAAAAACCAATAGCCAACATCATACTAAATGGTCAAAACTGAAAACTTTCATACTAAAATCAGGAACAAGACAAGGATGTCCACTATCACCATTCCTGTTCAATATAGTTCTTGAAACATTAGCCAGAACAATTAGACAAAAGAAAGAAATAAAAGTAATAACAATAGGAAAAGAAGAAGTTAAACTGTCATTATTTGCTGATGATACGATACTCTACATAAAAGACCCAAAAATCTCCACCAAAAGACATCTAGACTTAATTGACAGATTTAGTAGAGTAGCTAGATACAGGGTCAACATTCAAAATCCAACACCCTTCTTGTACACAAATAACAGACTCACTGAGAGAGAAATTAGAGAAATTCCTTTTACAATAGCACCCCAAAAAATGAAATATCTAGGAATCAATCTAATGAAGAAAGCAAAAGACCTCTACATTGAAAACTACAGCTCTCTGAAAAAAAATTGAAGAGAATATCAGAAAATGGAAAGACAGCCCTTGCTCCTGGGTAGGAAGAACCAATATAGTGAAAATGGCCATACTTCCAAAACTGCTATACAGATTCAATGTAATCCTGATTGAAATCCCAACAGTATATTTCACAGAACTAGAGAAAACAATACAAAAATTTATTTGGAACCAGAAGAGGACCTAGAATAGCAAAAGCCATTCTAGGCAACAGACATGACAGGGGGGTATCACAATTCCTAACTTGAAACTATACTACAAAGCCACTGTGATAAAAACAGCATGGTACTGGCAAAGAAACAGACTCGAGGATCAGTGGAACCGATTAGAAGATGCAGACACAACTGCATACTCAGCCACCTCATCTTTGACAAAGGAGCCAACCATCCTCACTGGAGGAAAGATAGCCTCTTTAATAAACGGTGTTGGAAAAACTGGATTTCAACTTGCCACAGAATAAAATTAGATCCATATCTATCACCATGGACTAAACTAAAATTGAAGTTGATTAAAGATCTAAATATTACAACAGAAACACTAAACTTGCTGGAATGTAAGTTAGGTAGAACTCTTGAAGATATCGGCATAGGAGAGAACTTTATGAAGAAAATCTCAGTAGCACAGGAAGTAGCACAAAGAATCAACAACTGGGATCTCATCTTATTAAAAAGCTTCTGCAGCAGGCCAGGGATTTAGCTCAGTGGTTCTGGCGCCTGACTCACAAGTGCAAGGTCCCGAGCTTGATCCCCGGTATCCCCCGCCCCCCTCCCCCCAAAAAAAGCTTCTGCACTACAAGAGAAACCACCAACAGAGCTAAGAGACAACCTACAAGGTGGGAAAAAATTTTTACCAGCTGTTCCTCAGACAAAGGACTACTATCCAGAATATATAAAGAACTTAAAAAAGTCAGACCTCCCCAAATTTAAAGACCCAATTCAACAATGGGCATCTGAAATGAACAGACATTTCTCAAAGAAGTAAAAGCACTAAAAAAAAAAATATGAAAAAATGTTCAACATCATTGGTCATTTGAGAGATACAGATGAAAACAACACTGAGATTCCACCTCACCCCAGAAAGAATGGCTGCTATCAAGAAATTAACCAATAAATGTTTGTGGGATTGTGGGGAGAAAGAACCCTTCTCCATCGCTGGTAGGAGTGCAGATTGGTGCAACCCCTGTGGAAATCAATATAGAGATACCTCAAAAAACTAGGATTAGAGGTCCCATCTGACCCAGCTATTCCTGTGCTGGGTATCTTCCCAAAAGAATTAAAAGAATCATACCACAGCGATATATGCGCACCCATGTTTATAGCAGCACCGTTTGTAATAGCTAAAGCCTGGAAACAGCCCAAGTGTCTATCAACTGGAGACTGGATAAAGGAAATGTCTCTTTTAAAGAAAAGGGAATACTACTCAGCCATAAAAAATGAGAAATTAGAGACAGCTAAATGGATGCACATTGAGGACATATTCTTAAGTGAAATAAATAGGACACACGTGTAAATACTGAATATTTCTCTGGTAGGAGAAACTGAAAGTATAAATAAGGATTAAAATGAATAATTATAATGTGAAATAGGAAGAAAAGGTCTAAAGGGGTAGGGGAAGTGCGAGGGGTACAGGAAAGGAAAAAAGGGAAAGGAAAAAATGTGAGATAAGAAATAAATGGAAACAAAGTCTTTGCAAATAGGGACTGGTGGAGGGGTTGAAAGGAGGGCAGGGGAATGGGGAAAAAATAAGAACTAAGATATATCATGTAAAGGTACAAGTTCCCAATGATGAATGTAAATGTATCGTATACCTAAAATGTACAAATAAAAGAATTTAAAAGAAAAAAACCAAACAAACCAAGCAACCAACCAACCAGCAAAGATATTCACCCAAGTAGGATGGTAGGAAAGACAACACAATAGCTTTCATCAGAGTTATACTCTCTGTTTATTTGTAAGATGAGAATAACACCTCATAAACTTGCTGAAGAATTAAAATAATGTGAGTTACAACTACACATAAAGTGCTACATTGTTGCTAAGATTCGTAATTCACTGTAATGAAACAACAGTGTGAGTCTACATATGAAAAGTAAAAAAGTTAAAGTGCTCTTGATATATGTGGTATTAATATACTTGGACTATTATCCAAAGAGACACATTTCTGTAGTTTTAAAATTTTATTATTTTTTTTTTTGGTACCGGGGATCAAACTCAGGACCTTGCACTTGCGAGGCAGGTGACAGAACCACTGAGCTAAATCCCTGGCCCCAGACACATTTATGTATTGAAAAGTTGAATACAGTAACTAGTTTTTAAAAAATCTCTGAACTTACAGCTAATAAGTACAGCAGGATGTCAGAAGCAATCTATCTGACTGTCTCAGACCTAGAAGTAAACACAGTACAGCTATCTTTGGATTGACATTAGAGTTATCCACTCTGAATTTGCTAAATCTGGGTTGGGAAAGAAACTCACCTGGTCTGCCAAATCTTATGACTGCTAACACTACCTGAAAGGCTTTTTTAGTGGCTGCTGAGGCCACATCCAGCATCAGGAGAAAAGACTGTCAGACTAATTAGGAACACCTACCAGAGGTTTGAGAGGAGAAAGGTTAGGGAAGAGGTTGAAATGGATGAAGCAATATGGAGTTGGATTGATAAATAAGCACAAGGTATGAAAACCATGGATTACATGGTACGAATTTCAAATACTTATGTCATACCAAACAGCATAAATAATAATCCTGTATCTAAAAATGCTATGCTGAAGTCAGAAGAAAAGATACTAAAGGGAAAGAGTAATTTATAGGATCATTGTATGCTATATTTTAAATTAGTCTTTATATACAAATTTGATACATTTTGGAAATAATTAAGATCCTATCCTGGTATGTCTGAGAAAATAGGGTAGATGACTTCCAATATCCTTCTCAACTTGTTAGCCACTTTTATTTAGTGTCTGTTAGATTCAAATGTTAAAGAATAACTAGTTATTCAGCTTCTCAATAAGCAGAAAGAAACACCACTAATGAAAATAAAAGGTCTAAACCAAGATGCATTATGTAAAGGTACAATTCCCAATAAGAAATGTAATTGTGTTGTATACCTAAAATGTACCAATAAAAGAATTTAACAACAACACCAAAAAAAGGTCTAATGATTGGACAAATCTAAGTAGAGAGCAATTCTCAGAGTGATCACTGTTGTGTAAAAGTCACCAATCACACAGTGAAACTGAGCATAGGACTTGAAAACTGAGCAAGGTTTAAAACCTGGCTCTGTTGCTTAGCAGGTGGATTATCATTCATAAAATTTCTTAATATTACCAAACCTCAGTTTTCTCATTTGTGGTTAGATAAGATTAAGTCTGTTGGGCTGGGGATTTAGCTCAGTGGTGCTGCCACCTGCCTTTCAGGTGCAAGGTCCTGCGTTTGATCCCTGGTACCCCCCCAAAAAAATTAAGTCTGTTAAGTGTCCAGCACATAATGGGCATCCCCTATTCTTCAATGACCATAATAAGCAACAACAATATGATACATCAGTGTTCCCTAGAAAATCTTTTTGGAGGGTGAGAACAACCAAGTAAGAAACACCCTTTACTATGCCAAGAAGCTAGTGTGAAATCAGTATTCCCTTCTTGTCCTGCTACATGCTCTAGGTTTGTCATTCTCCCTCTCCAACTCTCTCGAGGTCAAAAAGAAGGGTAATCTAAGAATTTTTGTACTGACCCAAAGTAAGGAGAGGTAGTAGAGCTAAGGCAAGGTTTTAGGCATGATTCCTGAGAAAAGAGCTTTCCTAAATGAAACCACCAAGAAGTGAAGAACAAGGAGGGATTCAGTGAATCTACAATACCACTCATATACTTGAACTACTATGCAAAGAAACATTGCTGTTGGCTGAGAACCTGAATAGATTTTTTTAAACTTTTGAACTCATAAATGCTAAATAACAAACTGAATAAAAAGTAAGTACATATGTAAATAGTATTATTACTTAGATGCTAATTACACTTGGTCCGCAAGTAGAGCAGGATATTAGAACCAATCTACCCTAGAACCAACATACATGTCTAAGCCTTGATCTATACTTCTAAAAGCATAGCATAGTGCACTTACCACAAAAAAGATGTCCACAGTTCGTTTCAACAGGGAAGGAGGCTTGATGTAAGCAGATAGGACAGTACATATCAGTATAGAACTGCTGTCGAGCAGCAGCAGGTACATCCTGAGAAGGAGACATGTATCTGTGTTTATACCTTACACACAGGGCTTTCGACATTGTCTTGTTAAATTACATTTAAGAATACTGTTTAATGTTCATCACATTTTGAATATGTAGTAGTTTGAGGTCTTGTGACTTACTGATAACAGCTCTAGAACAGATTACTATTAATATGCTTACACTATTCTTGCATTAATGAGTTCCATGAGAGTAGGAATGTTTGTTTAGTTCACAACTGAACTGACAATGCCTAGAACAATGTCTGGAATGTAGTAGAAGTTCAAAAAACATAAGGTGAGTGGATAAATTATAAACTTTTGTTGGAAATAAAATTTGATTCTTTTTTGGTTTTTTGGTTTGTTTTTGAGTCAGGATCTCACTGTTTAGTTCAGGCTGGCCTTGAACTCACTATGTAGCCCAGGCTGGCCTCAAACTCACGGCAATCCTCTTGCTTCAGTCTCCCAAGTGGTGGGATTACAGGCATGCACACCATGCCTAGCAGATTGATTTTGAAATGTTTTTTTTTTGGCCCCAAAGCTGGGGATTGAACTTGGGGCGCTCTATCACTGAGCTACATCCCCAGCCCTTTTTAAACTTTTTGTTTTGTGACATGGTCTCACTAAGGTGCTAAATTGTCCAGGCTGGCCTTGAACACCAGCCTCCCAAGAATATCTTGCTTATTCTAGCCTTCCTCAGCTATGCTACATTTCTGGTTCTGAGAGCTTCCATCTAGTTAAAAGTAAAGAAGAGGCAGAAGAAAAAATTTTCTTCTCTGCCTAACTAGTATTGTTATCTATGAACATTGAGGAAGGGAGGGATGTTAAAAAACAGCTGCCCCTTCTAATCATTTCTTTGGAAGTCTTAGGGTGTATATTTTTTTAAAAAAGTTTTCCACTACATTTCAGGTAAGACCAACTATATTAATTATTTCTGTGCCAGTAGGTAGTATGAAAACTGTTCTCTTTTAAAGCAACTTAAAACATGCAAACATTTGAACAGATTAAGATTAGGCAATTTGCTTAATCTGAAAATATACAATCTGTAGAACAATTTAAGGCCATTTAAACCAGAAAAGCCCATGTTTCTTAAAAATAACATTGTTTCATTTCAACTGCAAAATGTACATGTCATAACAGTACCTGTTCTGTTTGAAGTTGTTCTCGAAGCACCCTTACTAGCTCTTGGTTTTCTGGATGAATGTTCTGATGCACATTTCTGTTACGTAGAATATAACAAACGTTTAATGTAAAATATTGTCAGATTAATCCATTTGTTTTCTAGGTCTAATTTCATTTTAGAGCCACTAATAAGTAAATAAATGTAAATGATGACATTCAGTTGCACTCCCAAGTCAACTGGGAGTGCAACTGTATACTACATCCTGCAAAATGTAGGATACTCTGTGGTGAGTTCTTCCCAGATTACTGATCACTGGTTAATTTCAGATTTAACTGCCAAATGATAAAATGCAGAGGCCTCTTAATTTGGAGATTTATTGCAATCACCAAGTTCTAAAAACAATTAATGCATTAATTTGTTTTGTGAAATTTCTTCAAAATAAGCAGCTGTATCTTTCTATATAGTATTTAAACACTTCCTCATATCTAATTAGGTCTCACTTTTCAGTTTGGGGGCAACAAAGTAGAAACTAAACTTATATATGCAGAAAAGCCAAAACTTAATATACCACTAGTATCTTTAACATTAACCTGAAAATGGAAAGTCAAAGGTAAGAAGTTGGTGGCTAATATAAATGGATGGGATAAGACAAGCAGGAAATTATAAGTGGAGGTCAGATAATGAAGGTGGGGTTGAAGATGTACATCTGAATCACAGTTCAATCTCATTTGACTATAGATTCTTCCCCCTAAATTTAAACATTTTGAACAACAATATTCTAAGGAGCCTTTACATTCTGGGTAGGACACACTGAACAGAAATAATTAATGTCCTAATAGGATAAAGAAAATTAAAGAAATCCATCCTATAAATATGTAGTTTTTGAGAAAAAAATCAAATTTTACAAAGAAAACTGACAAAATATAAGCATTAGTTCAGTAATGATAGAAAATCAATTTAAAGTTAAGTAAGTAGAAGTACTATATAAGTGTAATAAAACTATTGAATTCTGTATAAATGTGAATTTTGGTAAATTCTTTATTTCAAAATAAGTTACATTCTTATCACTGAATAAGTGATCTATGAAAGAAACCTATCTGTATAATGAAAGCAATCTATCAAATTATGTAGCACGAGAATCATTTATTTAAATACCAGTGAAGTCTCAGCTACACAAAATTCTCTATTCTTTGAGAACAGAAAACCATTTCCTTTTCATTGGGGAAAAAAAATAATGAAGACTTTCCAGAGTACAGACATGAACCATATACCTAGAAAGCCTTTCATTGGGTTTCTTTACATATAAGGGAGATGTAAGATTCCTTAAATCTATAGTAGAATCTTGTAGTAAAAAAGGCAAAATATACCCAATGAACAAGAAGAGCCCAAACTGCTGAATACAGCCTGGAGTTCAAGTAACTAAATGTCATTGACAGCTAGCGGTATGAGTATGGAACCAAAAGTTTAGAAAACAATGGGTAATTAACACAGATTGAAAACCAAAATAGAAAATCTGAGATCAACTTAGATATGAGAAAATGATAGATCACTTTGGGTAGTATTTTTATCTTTCTTCCAGTCTATGGAAAGTCTTCATTGTGTGTGCGTGTGTGTGTGTGTGTGTGTGTGTGTGTGTGTGTTTTCTCTCAGCAGTGTTTTGTACTTGTAAATAATTTATTTTCTATTTGTTCTTCTTTTTAAAAAGTTTATTAATACATGTTTGCAGTACATAATAATTACATTAATCCTAGGGAGTTGGTACATGTACAAGACTCAACTTAATTCTTTTCTCATGCCTCTCCTGCTCTTCCCCATTCCCTTCATCTCTTGGTTCCCTTCCCTTTTGAAAAAAGATCCATTTCCCTGTTTTCTTTGTTTATCTTTCACTTTGCTCTTTATGCTTTGGATTTCTCACATAAGCAAAACCATGCAATATTTAAGCTTGTGTGTCTGATTTATTTCACTTAACATTTGATCTCAAGATGCATCCATTTTTCTACAAATGACTCAAATTTATCCTTCTTTATGGCACTGAGGCATTACTCCACTGTGTACAGATACCATATTTTCTTTATCCATTCATCTGTTGATGGACATATAGGCTGCTTCCAAGATTTAGCTATTATAAACTGTACTGCAATAAGCACTGGTATGCCAAGTATCACTATAATATAATGTCTTTTAACTTTTTCAGGAAGATACCTCGGAAATAGCTGGGTTGAACAGAATTTCTAGTTTTAGTTATTTGAAGAATCTCCATGCTGATTTCTATAGTGGTTGTACTAGTTTATATTCTCAACAACAACAAAGAAGGGTTCCTTTTTCCCTGCAGCCTCGCAAGCATTAGTTATTATTTTCTTGTGTTTTTTTGGTACCGGGGATCGAACTCGGGTCCTTGCGCTTGAGCAGCAGGTGGCAAAACCACTGAGCTAAATCCCCGGCCTATTATTTGATTTCTTGATGGCCATTCTTTCAGGAGTAAGATGGAATCTCAGTGTTGTTTTAATGTGCATTTCTCTAATGGCCAAAAAGTTTGAACATTTTTCATGTCTTTATTGGCCATTTGTATCTTAACGTCTATGAAGTGTCTATTCATTTCAGTTGCCCATTTTTTGATTGGGTCTTCTATTTTGAGGGGATCTAAGTTTTTGAGTTCTTTATATATTGTAGACATTAGTTTTCCTTCTGAAGTGTAGCTGGCAAAAGTTTATTTCCCCATGTGTAGGTTGTCTCTTCACTCCATTGGTTGTTTCTTTTCCTGGGCAGAAGCTTTTTAATTTGATATAATCCCATTTGTTGATTCTTGATGTTATTTCCTATGCAACTGGGGTAGTTCTGTTCAGAATGACTTGTTCTTCCTTAAAGTATCACTACTACCTATCATTTGTTGACATATCAGAAACCAGTCCAAAGTGTCTTGCACATTTCTATAACTTGATTCCATCTATCTTTCTTCTCCTATGCTTTGAGGTATCATTGCTTTCTTCATATTAAAGGTTATTGGCTTTTTCAGGGTTACATACAACTTAATTGGTTTGACAGTTTTGATTTTTCCCCTTTCAAAGACAAAGAAGGATCATAAATCATTGGCATATAGTAATAACAAATGTATTTGGGTTCTGTATTAGAGCCACTGTCTTTCTTGGCATCTTACTTTAGACCAACTTAGCTATGAGAAAATGACAAGACATTATAAACAAATGGACTAAAACACAGAGCCTAGAAATCAATTTTCACAAACATGGTTGCTATTTGAGTAAAAGTTTGTGTGTCCCAAACCTCATATTGTATGTGGAACCTTTATTCTCCAATGTGATAATATTTGGAAATGAGACTTTTGAAGGGAAATTAGGCCATAAGGGTGGCACTGTAATGATGGAATTAGTGGCCTTATAAGAGACATGGGGAGCTAGGGATTCAGCTCAGTGGTAGAGTATGTGTTCATATGTACAAGCCCCAGGGCTGAATCCCTAGCACCACATATGAAAGAAACATGGAAGACATGCTTCCCGTCTGTGCACCTTTCCAAGTGAAGATACAATGAAAAAACAGCCACCTGCAAACCATGAAGTAGGCTGTCAGACACTGGATCTACCAACACTTTATATATAGTTTGGATCTTTGGTCTCGCATAAACCCATATGTTGAACCCCTCATCTACCTAAAGTGGACCTATTGGGAGGTAGAAGGTCCTAGTAGGGAGGTCTCTAGATTCCTAGGGTCATGCTCTTAAAAGGTGATCTTGGGGCCCCAATCTTATCCTCTTTCTTCTGCTTCCTGGAGATGAATGAGCATTTTCTTCTCTGCCATCCCCTGCCATCCCCAGAGCCATGATGTATTACTTCACTACAGGACCCAAAGCAATGGGGCCAACTGATCACTTAATGCAGCTTTTGAAAATACGAGCTAAAATAAACATTTTCTCTTGGTAAGCTGATTATCTCAGGTACTGTTATGACAATGGAAAGCTAAGCAAATACACCTTGATCTGGGACTTCTCTCTCCCTGAAACCATGGGAAATAAATGTTTGTTGCTCAAGCTACCCAGTCTATGGATTTGTTATAAGTGCCCAAACTGGCTCAAACAATGGTCAACAGATTTTTGACAAGGGTATCAAAACTATTCAATAGAAGAAAGTATAGTACTTCAACAAATAGCCAGTGAGCACATGAAATGATAATATCATTACTTACTGGGGAATGTAATTCAAAACTATAATGAAATATTACTTCATTCTCATGATGGCTAAGGGGGAGAGGGGAAGAATGAAAGAAAGAATGGCAGAGAAAGTAAGCATTGGCAATGATATTGTAAAACTAGACCCCATATGCACTGCTAGTAAAATAGAGATGCCACAGTGGAAAACAGTTTAGAGGTTCCTGAAAAAGTTAAACATATCTTCCTGGGCAACCCAGCTAAACACTGTTTCAAAGAAAATAAAACAAAAAATACAGAATTATGATATGATCCCAAAATTTCAAGTGAAAGCAAAGACTCAGAATACAGCAGTGTTCATTGCATCATTATTCACTTATTCACATCAAATGGTGTGGATAACTCAAGAGGCTATCAAAGGATGAATGGATAAGCAGAAAGTGGTACACATACAATGAAATTTTATCAAGCCATAAAAAGGAGTAAGAATCTGATTCATGCCACAACATAAATGGACTTTGAAAATACTACATGAAGTGAAATTAGCCAAACACAATGGGACAAGTACTGTATGATCCTGCTTTATGAGGTACCTAAAATTGGCCAATTCAATGAGACACAAAGTAGAATAGACCCGTAAATGTCTGAAGAGGAATTCGAATTTATTGGTTAAATGGGAAGAGACTTTTATCTGGGTTGATGAGAAAGTTTTGGAAGTAGATAGTGATGATAGTTACACATTGTAACTGTACCAAATGCCACCAACTTATACACTTAAAAATGGTTAAAATGAAGTCAGATGTGGTGGTGCACACCTATAATCCCAGCACATGGGAGGCTGAGGCAGGAGGATCGCCAGGAGTTTGAGGCTAGCCTGGGGTATATGGTAAGTTCAGGGCCAGCCTAAACTACACAGTGAGACCCTGTCTCAAGAAACAAACATCACTTCTTGGCCTTTTGGCTAAGATCAAGTGAAGAAACAAACAAACAAGAAAAGGTTAAAATGACAATTTTTATGTTATGCATATTTTACCATAATACGAAAATGACAGAATTGATTATAATGACTAAAAATATCAAAGAAACTGGAAAAAGGGACAAAAGGTTCCTTTATTTAAATTTTAAACTATACATTACTCCTACTCCAGCCTATCAATAACTGATTACCTCAGTTGAAGTAAAATTACAAGTGCCAATTAAATTTTTTTTGGGGGGTGTTTGAGACAGGGTCTCATTATATGGTTCAGGCTAGCCTTGAACTCACTATGTATTCTGGGCTGGCCTTGAACTCATGGCAATCCTCCTGTCTCAGCCTCCCGAGTGCCAGGATTACAGGCATGTGCTATCACGCCCAGCTGCCAACTAAATTTGAATCTGGAGCACTGAACAGAAATTTAAATTGACCTCCTGATTCTAATAGTATTAATTCTTCCAATACATACCTGATTCTAATACTATTCTTCCAATACATAATAATACATTTCTTTTTTTGGATATTTCATTGTTAGTATATAGAAATGCTACTGAGTTTTTTATGTTCATTTTGTATCCTGCAACTTTGCTGAAATCATTAGTTCTAACATTTTTTGGTGTAGACTTTATGAAACATAAGATCATGTCATTTGCGAACTGATAATTTCACCTTTTACCTACTTGGATCCTTTTTTATTTTTGTTGTGTACTTTGTCTATAACATCTAATATACTGAATGGAAGTGGCAAAAGTAGGCATCATTGTTTTCTTACCGATCTTGGCTTTGTTTTTTCACTGTTGAGACAATATTAGCTGTACTCCTGTCATATGTGGCCTTTATTGTGATCCTTGTTTACCTAATTATTTGAATTTTTATGGATGAATTTTTAAGAAAGGATGTTGAATTTTGTCAAATACTTTTTCTGTATTTCTTGAGCTCTTCATATAATTTTTTCCTTCATTCTGTTAATACGTGTATTAATTGATCTATGTACACTGAGCCATTCTTGCCTCTTAAGAGATAAACTCCACTTGGTCATGATGTATGATCCTTTTTCATGTGTTGTTGGATTCATTTTTGCTAGTATTTTGCTGATAATTTTTGCATTTATGCTCATCAGGGTTGTTGGCTTATAAATTTCTTTTACTGGACTGAATTTATCAGGCTTTGGTATCATGGTATTGTTAGCCCTAAGAGGAGAAATCATGAAGTATTCCTTCTTCTTGAAGATTTTGGAAGTTTTAAAAGGACTGGTGTCAGTTATTTAAATGTTTGGTGGAAATGCAGAATTTCCTTCCCTTTAAAGGCTAAATATTATTCCATTGTGTATATATGCAGTACTTTGTTTATCCATTCATCTGTTGAATGGATTGCTTTCATTTTTTGGCTACTATGAATAGTAGTACTATGAACATGGGCCTACAAATATCTCTTTCGATTTCTGCTTTCAATTATTTGGGATATATGGCTAGGGTGGAATTGCTGAATCATATGGTTATTCAACTTTTCATTTGAAGAACTGCCATACAAAAAATAGAACAAAACAAAACACAAAAACAAAAAAAGAACTCTCATACTGTTTTCTATAACAATGGCAGTATCTTACATTCCCACTGACAGTGAACAAGGGTTCTAATCCTCACCAACCCTTCCATTTGCAAGGCAGACACAGCGCCACTGAGCTAAATCCCTGGCCCCTTATTCTGTGTAGTTTTGATAGTAGCCATCCTTATGGGTGTGGGGTTCTATCTCATTATGGTTTTGATTTGTGCATTTTCCTAATAATTAGTAATGGTGAACATATTTTCATGTGCTTACTGGCTATTTGTATATTTCCTTTGGAGAAATGTCAACTCAAATTGTTTGCTCATTTAAATTAGTTGGGTCATCTTTTGGTGGTACTGGGGATTGAACCTAGGAGCTTTACACTAAGCTCCCTTCCTCTTTCTATTTTGAGACAGGGTCTAAGTTATGGAGGGTGGACTTTGCAATTCTCCTGCCTCCACTTCCCAGGGTGCTGGGATTATAGGTGTATGCCACCATGCCCAGCTTTTCACTTTTTTTTTTTTTTTTGGTACGGAGGATCGAACTCAGGACTTTGTGCTTGTGAGGCAGGCGGCGGAACCACTGAGCTAAATCCCCGGCCCCTCACTTTCTTGATGATGTACTTTGAAGTATAAAAGTTAATTCTGATGAAATCTGGTTTGTGTACTTTATCATTTTACTGCCCATGCTTTTGGTATCAGTATCATATCTAATATTGTTTGTCAAATTAAAGATTGTGATGATTTACTTATATTTTCTTCTAGAAGTATTGTAGTATTTCTTTTATTGTTATAACCAAAACTGAGTATTATACAGAAAAGAGGTTTAGGTTGGTCATAGTAGCACATGCCTCTAATTCTAGCTACTCAGGAAGCTGAGCCAAGAGCATTACAAATTTGAGCTCAGCCAGGGCAACTTAGTGAGATCCTGTCTCAAAAAAATAAAATGGCTGGAGATGTAGCTCAGTGGTAGAGCTGTTGCCTAACATATGCGAGGCCTTAGTTCACTTCCCAGTATCACACACACAGAAAAGAGGTGTAATTTAGCTTATCATTTAGGAAGCAGCAAGTGTTGAGGGGTCCACTATTATATCACTGCCACTATCATATAATGGCAGAAACACTATGAGATGAAGAAATAAAGGGCGAGACAGGAAGCCAGAGTTGAGGCAGGGCTGGATCTTGCTCTTAAATAACAGATCTTCTCACAGGAACTAACAGGGTCCTTACCAGAAATACATTAACCTTTTCTCAGGGCAAAACTTTTCCCACTAGGCCCTAGCTTAGAAAGGTTCCACACCACCTCCCAACACCAGCACTCTGAAAACTACGCACAAATTCTTGGGAGGCAAACTGCAACTAAATCACAGCAAATATTGTAGTTTTAAGTCTTAACATTTAAATCTTTGACCCATTTTTAATTTGGTGTAGCATGAGTCCAATTTCACTCTTTGCATGTGGCTACCCAGATGTCTCAGCACCACCTATTGAACTCTTTTTCTACTGAACGTTCTTGGCACATTTGTCAAAGATCAGTTGACTATAGATGTATATGGGCTGATAATTTCTGGATCTTGATTCTGTTACACTATACATTAGTTGTTCTCCTGCCTGACAACAAGTATGCTTCTTATGTCTTCTTCCCCTCACTTGCTATTAGAAATGAATAGAGCAGGCCTAAAGACAGAGTCCTGAAGCAATACATAGAATACTTTTGTTTGGTTTCTATTAAAACATCAGTCAGTATTCCTATATTAGTTATGAATTCACTTAAACTTGCTATCATTTAGTCATTATTTCCTACAAAGAATCACTCTAAAAAATGCCCTACTGTAATCAACATGTTGTCCTAATAAGAGACTATCAGTGCAGAGGTAAAAGAATAACTTACCATTTTTTCCCTTAAGTGTTCACATTCTGTTTAATAATCTTTTTTGTAGTTTTTACAGGAAAAACACTGATTTGTAATTTGGGGGATTAAAAATTTACTCATCTACATATTGGCATATAGACATTTGAGGCATTTAAATGTTGTTCTGATTCTGTAACAACTGATTGAAGTTACTTCTAATCATTTTTTTTTTTTGGTACTGGGGATTGAACTCAGGTCCTTGCGCTTGCGCAGCAGGCAGCAAAACCACTGAGCTAAATCCCCAGATGTAATCTTAATTTCCTCTACACTGTCCAAGATGTTTTTCCCTTTTCAGCTCAGTTTTTCTATTTAAAAACTATAAATATTTTGCAGTTATCTATGTTACCTACTAGTGATACCATTTTTTCAATTATGAAACAAATTTAAAATATATTACCATAGAAAATATTAACATTTTAGGGTGGGGATTTAGCTCAGTGGTTTCACTGCCTGCTGTGCAAGCGCAAGGACCCAAGTTCAATCCCCGGTACAAAAAAAAAAAAAAGAAAAGAAAAGAAAAAGAAAATATTAACATTTTAAACAAAATATGGATGATTAATTTATCTGCTTAAGATAGGAAAAATATATGTTACCATTCAGAGCCCAATGGAAAATAAAGTACTTTAGTAAATATATATACTCACTGAAATTTGTTACTTTTCTTATTATTATATGTTACTATAAGTCAAAAATTCAGTGACCCTTGGAAATATATATTTCATTTTATTTGTCCTTTAGTCTCACCTGAAAAGTGCATATACCAGGGAAGCAATCAAAGTGAAACTGACCACAACTGCCACAAGAACTTGGTCACTTACTCCTTCTATAACTGAATCATCATCCAGTTTCAAACTTTGAACTTCACCTTGATATTTGGCCATTCCAGGTCTAAAATATGAAGAAACAAGATAAAAGTTACTAACAACAAAGTGAAACTTATGTTAATAAAAGCAATATAAGTATAGCTGTCTTCTAATATATTTACTATTTCTAGCATTTCATGTAGCCTATATTAAGCAAAATGCCAGTGAAGATTCTCCCATTAAGAGTTCTTTAAAATTTGCCAGAAACATTATTTGGGGGAGTACAAAATGTTATTTCCCTTAAGGAGAGCAACTACTATAATTTACCATCTATTTATACTTTTTAAGACCAAAAAAAATTTAAATACTCATTTCTCCTCAAACTTAGTTCCTTTAAGGAAAAAGATGTTCTTCTTGCTCAAGTGCTCCTTTCTAAATCCTGGATATCAAATAAACTCTCCAAGTAGACCAGATTCCTTTTCTCCTTCATAGGAAATCTACTGTAGTCTTCAGTAAATACCTAGTGTAGGATCTGTACACAGGAGACTATAATAAATGTTTGTTTACATAAAAATGATTTACCAAACTTAGAAGTGTTAGTAGAAAGGTAAAAGACATTAAGGATCTTAGAGCATTTGTATCAATACCAAGACTACTTGAACTAATGAAAGTTCTGGTGCTTAAAAAACAATTAGCCTTACCTAGAACTAAAGCTGAGCTTATGGTTCAAAAATTTCTAAACTGCCTTGAGTATGGAATCACTCTGAGGCCGTATTTCCTATGAAGAGGAGGATATGAAATTTTCCTTCCCATACTCAAAACTAAAGGAAAATGGTAGGACCCAATTCTATAGGTATGAGAAGAGAAAGCTAAACCACATTGGAGTTCAAATATCACAAGTAACTGATATTTTTTTTCAGACTACAAAACTATAAAATTCAAAGTTTTAAGATACCTAAAGAGAAGTAAAAGAAATAAATATTAAATATATGTGATATTTAAAGTTCTGTATTAAGGTAACTGATTGTATTGAAAAGTTTTACCCAATACCGTCATAACTCAGGTAAATCTGTTATGAGGAAATTTTGTGTGACAGTCTTAACACTTTTGTAATGAATCTCAAATGGCTGCTAGCAGGAAAATTACCTCTCCTGAAAGAAACCTCAGCAAATAAACGGATCAAAGAAGGTTCGTCAGCTTTACACAGAGTAATAGCCTGATATATCAGGAACTTTCTAATGACACGTTTCAAGTGCATACTATGAAGGTATGAGCCAGGAGATTAGGGAGTGGCAAACTGGCTGGGGAAGTAAAGGTAACCTGTTTCTCACAGTTCTGAGACACATGTGTAGAGCATCTCCCAAAGCCCTGCACCTGGGACCAATCAGAGATTGCTACCTTCAATTCTTCTTGCAAGAACTCAACCAGTTTTTTGTTTGGGGGGGGGGGGTTTGTACCAGGGATCGAACTAGGGACCTTGTGCTTGTGAGGCAGGTGCTGGAACCACTGAGCTAAATCCCAGGCCCTCAACCAGTTTTTGATAGAAGAACCAGTTTTTGATAGGAGAACCTAGACCTGATGTCAGCCAGAGTGGGAGAAGATGGCTACCATTGCCTCTTCACAGTGGTTTGCTCTCACTCTGCAGAGTATTCTTCTTTTCCTACTTTTAACTGACCCACACGCACTCTGCAGAGCATGTTTCTTTTCCTACCATTAATAAATGTAAAACCTCACTATATTTGCACTTTTTTTTGAGACAGGGTCTCACTATATATATGGTTCAGGCTGGCCTTGAACTCACTATGAAGCCTAGGCTGTCCTTGAACTCTCAGTGGTCCTCAACTACCTGCGTACTGAGATTACAGGTGCATGCCACCATGCCCAGCTTTCTGTGCTTGTATTGACCAATTCTTTGTTCAGGACAGAACCTAGAAACCACTTCTAGAAGGAGACCTCAGAGTCCCGGAACCCTGTAACAGGTACATGCCAGGAAACTCAAAGAGTTCTGTTTTCAATATGAACAAATGAACTGCAGCTCAAACTAGAAAAAGAAAAGCCTCAGTCAATTTGAATCAGAACTGTCCAAATAACTAGATTAGCATAGTTCTGGGTGTGGCTGAATGGATTTACTGAAGGAAGACCCACCCTAGATCTGAGTGGAACCAACCAATAGGCTTGTAGTCTGGATGGAATAAAAAGGGAAACAGAGCAGGAAGGCTCAATTCTGTTTCTTTGGAGGAGCTTCAGTCTTTGTCTCTGCCTTGCGTATTCATTTCCTGGTTTCCAGCAAAGACTCCTCAGTCTTCCAGCACAGACTCTTTAGCCTCCTGATGTGAACTTGTGTGGGACTCTAGAGTGAGGTCCAGGCCTTTGATCTCCAACTAGATCCTTCAGATCTCCAGTGCACAGACAGACCTTTTGCATTTTTTCCACACCTGACTCTGCAGGAAGCCACTGAGAGCCTACCTTGTAATCCTTATAAACACTATATATCTAATGTAAAATGTTTCTCTAGTGAGCACTGACTGATACAGTGGGCCAGAGAGACAATAACAGATTTTTGTTTTAATTTCCTATTTTTAAATTAGAAATGGTATGGCTGTAATTCAAAGCCCTTTTAAAGGCAGTGAGAATGACTGTAACTGGCACTGAAAAATGGAACTTTAAAAGTTAATTTTTTTTAGAGATATAAGCAACTTCTCCAAACTCCCTTCTTCTGAGCACATGACTAACACACCCTTCCTCTCCTCCCACCAGATAAAGTGACAGAATATGCAGATGGTGACACCTGGAAGCTAGTTTAATTTCCACAAGAAAGAGGGCAATGAGCTCAAGACAGCTGGAAGTGACAAACAAAGTGGGGAGATCTGCCTTCTTTTTCTGTGCTCCCTTCCTCTGTTCCTTAGTACAGAAGACCTGTTGCACCCAGCGAGAAAGAACCAACCAGAGACAGATATTAAATCCACACAGGAGTTTATTACCCGCCGGGACCGAGCATTGGACTTGGGGGGAGATTAACATATTTTATACACCTTTGAGGCCAGCAGTTTCTAGGCCCCCCTATGGGATAGAACTAGTAAAGCATGCAAAAGGTACAGAAGCAGAACATCCTGCTGTTAGAACATTTGTAAAACAATAGTTGATTGTTGTTTCTAAGAGACTCAAGGGGAGGAGGTTTCTAAGCTTCCTCCTTTTGAGTTCATCTAAAGGGCAGGCAGGTGGGTCTTTCAGCAGCAATATGGAGTCTGTCTTGCTAACTGGGGTCCTTCAGACCCTTCCAAACTGTACAAAGCAAAGATGGTGATTTTGATATAGGGGGAAGAGATGTAACTCCCAAACCTACTAGATACCCGAAACCCGAGTTGGTGTTTTCTAAAATCAAAGAATGAATTTTAAGAATGGAGGTTAAGAGTAGGAAAAATTTACTGAAAGCTTCTAAAAAAGACAGAAGGGGGACCAGAAAGTGGGTTGCCCTCCCACCCTGCTTTTCAAAGATGTTTTATACAGTAAAGCCATGTGGTAAGGTGGGTACCAAGTGGGACAAAACTGTAAGATCCTATGGAAATTTACAAGGTGGGGCAAAACCAGGACCAACCAGTAAGATTACAAGTACAGTCACCCAGGTAATATTGATTAAATAAGGGTCAAAAGGGAAAACAAGTCACATACAAGGAATTTTCCATTTAGAATATCAATCACTACTATCTATCCCCAGGGGAAGTAGTGTCTCCTTTTTATAATGCTAACCAGTGAATGTTCCTCAACTGTTCTCCGTGTTGGCTCCTTGCTGTGTTGGCTCCTGGAGGGCTGGTGCCTTAAGGGTGGCCATGTCTAACTGCCTACAAGATATCTAATTAGCTTACCTATCTACAATAATTTGAGGCAAATGGGCCTCTCTACCTCCTCAGAGCTAGCTTTGAATAAATCTTTTTTCCTTTTTACCAAAACATATGGCCTTCTTTGATCTGGTCAGCAGCAAGCAAATAAACCTGTTTATGGTAACACTGCTTCTACCTGCTCAAAGATAATCAAAATGTTATTCCTGTCAAAATTCCCAGCCTCTGGCCTGGGATTTAGCTCAGTGGTTCAGCCGCCTGCACCTCCTGGCCCCCACAAGTGCTGTGAGACCTAACTAACTCCATTTTAAAGTTTGACTCCATCTTGGAATAAGACAGTAAAGTGGCCTTGACATAAATTCCACTTCACTGAAGTCAACTATTCCCCTAGTCTCCTTTGTGCCCATAAAATAATGATAAAATGTCCTTGCTGTGGGACAACAGATTAAAAAAAAGACACAGCTCCTAACTCAATCCTCTGTCTGCCCAGAAAACAGACGCTCCCGGGCCCATTATCTATAGAACATTCTGTCAATGTGCTGACTGTTCCTTTTTCCCATAAAATCTACATGTAGCCACCCCTCAACCCCCCCGATGTACACCCCATACTTGCTAAATATCAACCAATCATGTAACTGCTAAATGAAAAATCCCCAAACCTTGCTGTAGCCACAATAAAAACCCTGCTGATTTAAAATTCAGGGCTCTCAATCCTGATCCGCTGTGTTGGTGACGGTTGAGTGCCCCTGCTCGAGCTTGAATAAACGACCCTCATGTGTTTACATCAGAATCGGCTCCCTGGAGGTCTTTGGGGACTTCGCGATCTGGGCACAACAGCACAAGGACCTGAGTTCCATCCTCCGTACCAAAAAAGCCCCAAACAAAAAACACTGCCATTCAATGTTGGAAATTGTTTGTAATGATGATATGCTACACTATGTTGTGAAATATACTAATTAATGAAATACAAGTAAAATATTCTATATGCGTCAATAGTAATACACAAAATTATATTTATCATGACACCTCACTAACTGACTAAAAGCCTTGATAGCAGGACTTTATCATTCTAATAGACTCTAAAGGATTTATGGAGAAATGACAGATGTGTGTTGAGATTTTTAGAGTGACACTCAACAGATTTGGTTTCTTTCAAAATTGTCTACATTTTGATGACAAAAAGATCTGCCAAGAAAGCAAAAAATTCGACAATTTGGCTGCTATTCACTTATCTTTTGAAAGCTTTGTTTCAAACTGTCAAGCAATTTATACACTGTTCAAATACATGACAAGTGACAAATTGCATTGTCTCATGGTTGTTCAAGTTTTCGGCAATATATGCCAAGTAAACCTTCCAAAGATGGTATAAAAACATATGGCCTGGTAGTTGCGAAGACATTTTACACCTTGAATTTAGAAATTTATCCTGGAACTCAGCCACCAGGCTTTATTCGTGCAGTAATAAACCACATGACATTGTGAACAGACTTGCTGCACCTATTTCAAAAAGTAACCCAAATGTCACGTTTGACAACTGGTTCACTAGTTACTCACTCATATTACATTTGCTAAAAGAACATCAGTTGACCAGCACAGGAACTGTTCACAAGAACAAAGCAAAGATTCCTGAAAAAATGTTGAATGTTCAAAATAGAGAAAAGTATCATAAAATCTCTGGATAACAGTGGTCTCCTGTATGGAGAAGAAAAACAAAGTAGTATTGATACTGTCAATGTTACATGATAAGATTGATAGGGAAGTCAGGTGTGGTGATGTACACTTGTAATCCTAGCACTCAGGAGGGTGAGGCAGGAGGATACTGTAAGTTCAAGATCAGCCTGTGCTACATAGTGAGTTCAAGGCTAGCCTGAACTACATACTGAGACACCATTTCAAAAAGAAAAGAAAAAAAGAGAGTGAATCCTCAACACAAATATAGTGAGAAATGGTCACATTTTAAAACAAAATGAAAGGTGGAGTAGATATTGATGTGTTACGCAGCAACTAAGAAGTCACTTGAAATACAAAGCATTGGCCAATGGTTGTGTTTTACTTGATCCTAAATGATAGGTCTCCCACTACCTCAGCAGCTATTATGTATAGTAGCTGCCCTCTTCCTATCATGCCTTGTCCCCTCCCGTGTGACATCATGCCAAGATGGTTGCTCCCACCAAAGAACAAACCCTTCTTCCCAGTATGCCCCTGTTCTGGCCTAGAGAGTAACCTAATACTCACTCACCTCCTACCACCTAGTGACGTCACTGGCTCCTCCATTCCCTAGTCACTACCTCACTCAACCCCGCCTCAGCCCCTACAAACCCCACCCCAGTCTCTATAAAAGACACTCCCTGCCCCAGCCATATTGCCTTTGTCTCTCCTTTGTTTATAGACAGCCTGGCAGATTTGTTCCCATAGTAAAGGCTTGTTGTGGCCTGGTCTGGTCTTGGTTTTCGGCCTTTTACCTGACACTAAACACACGTGGTATAAATAGTTTCATAGTTCACAAAGAAAATAACAGCACAAAATATCATGGAGATATTTTCTTAGAGGATTGGGACTAGAACTGATAAATGAGCAAATACAACACAGGAAGAACAATATGTATCTGCCCAAAGAACTCCACAAAAGAATTCTGTAGTAGACTGATGAACAGACAGGTAAAATATCACAAGAACCTCCTAAGTACATCCTACCAGAAAGAGGAAAACAAAACACATGGGCTGTCACTGTAAGCTATACTTGTGTATGGAACATGGTGCTCTTGTGTGTGAAAACTGCTTTTGGTGTGATAATTGAAGTAAGGATTGTGTAGTTTTATTTGTATTTTTTAAAACAACTACTATCAAACACAACCACATATAAAAAATTAAAACCATTCAAAAAACAATGCAAGGGGGGAAAAATCAATAATATTCAAACACAGTAGAACTCAACCAAAACAAAACTGAAAAGCACGTAAACATTTTTCCATATAACCTAAAAAAGCATCTCAAGCACCAAGACACCAGAGGATGTGATTTGTTTCAAAAAGACCCCCAAAACCAACACTGAACAAATAATGATCTGGAAAAAAACTTCAGTTAGCAGACTCCACATAAAAGCCAAACTTCTCTGTAATTTAAATTTCGATACAGTCATATGACACGTGATGGAAACACAATCCGAGAAATATCTTATTAGGCCATTTCATCTGTGTGTATCCTTAATTACACTATCAGTTTCTCATACTAGAAAAACTTTGGTATTTCACGTGTCCTATTTATTTCACTTAAGAGGATGGCCTCAATATGCATCCATTTAGATATCAATGTCTCTAGTTCCTCATTTATTTGTATTTTTACTGTAGTTCACATAGGAATTTATTTTTTAGATTTAGTAAGCAAAGCTGATATAGAGAATGGTGTTTATTCTAAATATTCAGTACATATTTTATATTTTATATTTCATTTTCCTGCTAAATGTACATTGTATGATATACCCAGTGGACCCTTGACTTACAAACTCAATTTGTTCCCAAGGGCTGGGTATAACCCAAGTTGGTCAATGAAGGCTCAACTCCTCTACACAGCCTTCAAAGTCTCTCTCCTGTATACAGGCAGATCTCAGTGTCCTTAGACATTGACCTAGGATTTCTGAATTAACCCCACACAGGAAAGAATGTTGTAATGCTCCTTCCAGAACTCTTTAAGGGTTAAATCTGTATGAGAGACCATCTGAAAGCACAAGTGGCTGGCATTTGGGTCATAACTCAAGACTTTGGTCATAAATTAAAACTAAAATTCCAGTCATAACCCGGGGGTCCACTGTAATAGGAACCTCCTAACAAAACAGGAAGACAAGAGCAGTGACAAGCATGACCTGCCAAAAAAGATAGGAAAGCAAAACATATGTGCTGTTAGTGTAAGTGATACTTGAGTATGGAACATGCTGTTTTCATGTGTGAAGATAATTTAAGGTGTAATAATTAAAGTAAAGAATATTCTCTGGTAGTTTTATTTGTATTTTCATTGTAGCTAACATAGGAATTTATTTATGCTCTTATTTTTTAGATTTTGTAAGCAAGTAAACAGTTGATGTTGAAAATGTTGATGTTTAGGGCTGGGAATTTACCTCAGTGGTTCTGCCGCCTGCCTCGCAAGTGCAAGGTCCCGAGTTCAATCCCTGGTACCAAAAAAAAAAAATGTTGATGTTTGGTCTACACACTCATTACATATTTGATATTTTATTTTATTGATATTTCATTTTCCTGATAAGTACACCTTCTATAATATAGTAGGAAGTTCTTGAGAAAAGAGGAAGACAAGAGGTGACAAATATGACCTGCCAAAAAAGAGACAGGAAACCAAAACACACGTCCTGTCAGTGAAAGGGAGACTTGTGTTTGGAACATGCTGCTGTCATGTGTGAAGACAACCTTAGGTGTGATAATTGAGGCAAAGATTGTATCTGTGGTAGAGTTTTGTTTCTCTTTTCATTGTAGTTCACATAGGCATTTATTTCTGTTATTTTTTTTTGATCTTGTAACCAAGTAAACAGTTGATGTTGAAAATGGTCATTTATTCTAAATACTTACTACATATTAAAATTTTCATTTCATTTTATCGGTATTTTATTTTCCTGTTCAGTACACATTGCTTAATATAATAAAACTCAAAATTAAAAATTCATAAATAGAAATACTTCTAAAAAATAAACATGTGCATTATACACCCCCCCACCATGTAGCTTTCAAAACAATTTGCCATGATATCCCTGGGTAAATATTGCTTCCTGAACACTTTTAAAAGATCAGAGACCACAGATACTTTAATTATTGCACTGCCATATTATGCTACTTGCATTATTTTACAACATAAGTTTGCAATGTTGTTCAGAGTTGCATTTTCCTATCCTGAGGAAATATCAACTAACTCTAGGGCTGTTACATGGAGGTCTTCTAATGCTGTTGATCCACTTATTGAGGGCTTCAATAGTACTTCTACCATAGTTTTTCTTAAAATTAAAGTAAAAATGAAAGTGTAGGAGGTAGGGGCTCAAAAATAAGGTGTGGTTGGGGCTGGGGATTTAGCTCAGTGGTTCCGCCGCCTGCCTTGCAAGGGGAAGGATCAAAGTTCGATCCCCTGTACCAAAAAAAAAAAAAAGGTGTGGTGGCACACCCTGGTAATGCTCATTACTTAAGAGGCTGAGGCAGGAGGATCACAAGTTTCAGGCCAGCCTTGCGTGACCATGTTGCTCTTTGTGAAAGCATGGGAGACTTTTCCTTCTTGGTGACGTTCTTTTGGCATACTACATTTGTTGATTCTGTCCTCTGGGGTCCAGCAATCTCCCTGCTCAGGAGGTTGGGTGACTCACCAAAGTTGGAGGACCCTGTAGGAAAGGTTCCCTTATGTCCTGGCTCCACACTGACCTTTCAGGGCCAGGGCCAAAGTACTGGCTGTCCTCTTAGCCCTGTTATCTTTCTAGTTCTGGTCTCCAAACTTTAGTTGTTGAATAACCCAGAAGAGAAGATCACATTAGTATTATAGTGGGAGCAGTGAACTTAACTATTATAATTTTATCTGGCTATAAAACATTTTGAAATATAAAGTACAGACAGAGGACTATTTTTTACCAACCCCAATTATTTTAGTAGTCAAATCCCTACAGAATGTTAACTACAGACAACAGTTACATAGGGCCGGGGATTTAGCTCAGTGGTTCCACAGCCTGCCTTGCAAGCACAAGGTCCCAAGTTCAATCCCTGGTACCAAAAACAAAACAAAACAAAACAACAAAAAACAGTTATGTAGCTTTACAGAGAAAACTTGAGATCAAGAGCTATACATAGTATTTCAGTGTGACAATGATGACATTATCTTTGTAACACACTTAAATGTCCATCTTAGTACAGAATAGCCTTCTTAGTCATCTGATTTCAAGATATTAAATGACACAAGGAAAACACTCACCTAATTTGTTATCTTTTAATATGTTAGGTGTCCCTATGTGCAGTCACACATATAACATACACACTGTATAAAGACTATCATTTGGTGATCTCATGTTGACTTGACATGTACTTCCAATCACAAATAGATGGAGTGCAACAGAAAGGTAGATAGTTGAGTCAATAAAAAGTTATTACCATAACATCTTAGAAGAATACATTTATATATCGCAGAAGGCAAGAATACATTTAGTACATCATGAAATTAGGAATAATGAGTATCATAACTATATGGAAACCTTTGTCCCTTAGTTTTGTACCCTGAGCACCTTTTAATAAAACTTAGCTACCTCCTGCCTTTCATCATGGCCCCCAGGCAGGAGATTGGGGCTCAAAGCCGGGGTACCCAATACAAAACCTTATTATTTTTCCCACAGAAAACTTAACCTTTTGATGATGACAAATGTAAACATATTTCAATAATGTTTAGCAATGTTTATTGGGGTGAGTTTTCCATTGGGGTCCAATGGAAATTGGGGTCCCCTTTGTGAACAAGGGCTGGAACAAATGATATTTCCAGGCAGCTGGTCCTTTGTTACTTGCAATGACCTATTTATTGAACCTATTTATATTTATTTAATTTTTACTCTGAAGTGTGTCCAGTTACATTTGCACTTGCTTAAAAGCACATCAGATCTGTTTTGGACACCTCTGATCATTTTAAAACTGGAAAGGAAGAGTTACACTGTATCCTTCCATGAGGTGGATGCCTTGTCTTTAAAGGGTGAATAATCTGGTCGGGTAAAATGCTAATTTTTAAGTGATTTTTTTTTTTAAATCATGTTCCATTCTGTTTTCTCTGTGGATGGTTGTTTTAATTGATGTGTTAACTGTGTGATACAATCCTCTTTGGTGGAACCTAAAATTCTTTTTAGCTTTATATTTTATAAACTGCCAGACTGTACAATTTTTATGTGTATTTTTAAAGCTTGATGATGTGAAGGCCATTGCAAGGGAGCCCTGTGCAGAACTGTCTCTAAGTCCAAGGATCCTCATTTAATTAACAGATTTTTAGATGATCTATGAGAACCAGATCATAACAATTAATTATTATTAGCCAAAAAGGACTCCTGAGTTATTGATAATATGTACTGCATTTGTAAAACCAGTCTTGACATCATTTTGATCAGCTGGCAACTTGTGGAAGCATGGCTTTGACTCTAATGACATCTATAAGCCAACTTAAGTTACGGTCAAATATCTTTTTTAAAAAAATCTAAAAAGGCAAAAAGGAGAAAAAATTGTTGAGCTCAGACAAAATAGCTGTACATATTGTAAGATGATTTGTTTCTAAAACCAGAGTACACCCAGATGTGTTTGCCCAAGTCAAATTATAATAACCCTTTTATAAGTTTTGGGTTTGTACCTATAAGTAAGACTAGTCAGAACTTCTTGTAGATCAAACCACTGCATTCTAATTCTTTGAGAGAGAGAGACTGAGGAAGATAGATTAGCAGCACTTTTCATCCTGCAAAGGAGATCACCCCTGGAAACAAACAAATGGCTTGGAGGAATTCTGCCTCGCTGAACCCTAAGGTGGAGAACCCTCTAAGACATTCCTGTTACCTATCTAGCCACCTAGGCGACCTTCCTTAGCAGCAAGACAATGCTGTACATTGTTCAAGATCCATTTTAAATCACAAATCACTAAGTATCTGAAACTCACAGATTAAACTTGTTCATTGCCTAGCAATCACAATTCATGTGTTAGTAAAGGCACATTTACCAGTTTTCTACATGCACATGAAAAGAGAAAGGCTAAAATCCTTTTTTATTCTAATTAGCATATAAAAAACACAAGTGTAAGTCACTAGTCCATGAAAGACAAACAGTTGTTGCAGGCTATCTCAGCCTGACTTCTTGGAGAAGCGGTCCAATTACAAAGTGGTTCATTCTAAAGTTAACTCCCAACAGGGAGTTCTAACTTACCAACAGAAAGAAAAGTCCAAATAAAACCCTAAGCTACCTAAAAACCCCAAAATAATCATCACATAGCATTTTACAAGTTTATAGTAAAAGGTTCAAAGCCCAAAACATGTTAATGAAGGTATCTTTTCCCCTACTCACGTAAATGATGAAGACCAGACCTAGGAGGGGAGAAGAGAGAAGGTTGGGGTAGTTTTTGAGATCCTTTTTTTTAATTTTACATGCTTCTATAAGGAAAGTGTAAAAGTGGCAGGCAAAGATCAGAAATGAAAGGCCTTTTCTTCTCATGCTCATGATGAGTAATTGAAGACAACTTGTTCCTGAGCCGTCAGTCTCAGCCTGGAAAGGCAAGAACGGGGAATCTCAAGAGCTAAGATTGCCTCCTGAGTGGCAGAAGATCTGACCAGAAAGTAAACTGAGGCAAAACAGGCCTAACATTTTCTCTAGATTATAGAGGACTGAACCAGAATGTCTCAGTGAAATCTATACCCCAAATCTTAAGAATGGTTGCAGGTCTATCACCTTTTAACTGGCAGATGGAGTCCAGTGATTAATAGGCATGTATATTTTTCAAATATAAACTAGATTTTATAAAAAGACCATTCTACAACATTTTCTAAATTTACTGATAGTTACCATTAATGGCCACTAATTAGCACTCTAACACTACATTTTTCGCCTAATGCTGTTTAGCAAAACAAAGAATGCTAGCAGAGGGCTGGGGATTTAGCTCAGTGGTTCTGCCACCTGCCTTGCAAGGGCAAGGTCCCAAGTTTGATCCCCAGTACCAAAAAAAAACAAAACAAGAATGCTAGCAGATTTAGCAACTTCAGGAATTAAGTCCAAATGTAACAGATACAAAACAAAAATAAAATGTAATTTTAACAAAAGATAATGCATACACAATTGTAAGAAAATTAAACACAATACCTAAACAATTCAGTCCAGAATCTATGAAACAAAAAGTTAGAATCTATGAAACAAAAAGCAAACTATTACCTCCAACCAATTATCTCGGTGGAAGACCTCCAAATGATACAGGGTATAGACCTCCAAATAAGGGAACTAATCCAAATAAGGGAAATATTACAACTCCCAACCTGTTAAGATATCCAAAATGCTGAGTTCATGTTCTCTAAAAATCAAAGAATGAATTCTAGGAATGGCAGCTCCTGCCTTAGCGAGACAGAAGAGGACATCAGGAAAAGTGAGTTACCCATCCACCCTGCTTCTCAAGGGTGGTGTTTTG